TTGTGTGTTTCTGTCTGTATGTATATGTGTGTATGTGTCTTTGTATGTATGTCTTGTGTGTGTCTGTCTGTATGTATGTGCGTCTTTGTATGTGTGTGTGTGTGTCTGTCTGTATATATGTGTGTATGTATGTGTGTCTTGCCTTTGTATGTATGTGTTTTGTGTGTATGTGTCTTTGTATGTATGTGTGTCTTGTATCTGTCTGTATGTGTGTATGTGTCTTTGTATGTATGTCTTATGTGTGTTTCTTTGTATGTGTGTGTCTGTATGCATGTCTGTGTGTGTGTCTGTATGTATGTGTGCCTGTCTGTTTGTATGTATGTGTCTTGTGTGTGTGTGTGTGTGTGTCTGTATGTCTGTATGTGTGTATGTATGTGTGCCTGTCTGTGTGTCTGTATGTATGTGTGTGCCTGTCTGTATGTATGTGTGTCTTGTGTGTGTGTCTGTATGTATGTATGTGGGCCTGTCTGTTATAGTGGGCTATAGTAAGTAATAGTAAGCCCAAGCTCAGCCTTCCTACTGGGCATTGCTATAAAGAAGGTTAAAAAAAATAGCAGCGTTCGTGCCCCTCTGTAGAATGCACCAAAGTACCGAATAGCGCTCTTCTAGCTATTCGGTAGAGTTCCAGCGTTTGTCTGTTTGGGACCAGTGTTCGGGAAGTCAAGTGTCCGTAAAACAGTTCCATGCACTCAACGACCAGGTCCCGCTGCCTTTGTTCGCATGAACAAAGATGGCCACAGTTTTCTCTGCCACGTGGCATTCGACTAACGAACGCTGGCCGCACAGACAGAGGTAGCAATTTCACCAAACCTTTGATGTTTAATGAGCCAAAGGGTGGTCCTTGTTCGGTAGTTCCATCTACCAAATGCAATAGGCAGAAATGGGGATAAAAAGGGATTGCAAACAGTAAATAACATAGGGAACAGGGGGGTTTCTTCACACTGCTCCCCTATAAGTCCATAGGTCGGCATACCCGCCTAGACCCTGTCGGGTTGGCATGGGGATGTCCGAGAAAGAGTCTTTTAAGCATCCAAGTCGGTCTGGCGGGACAGACCGTCTGCATTACCATTTTGTTTGCCCGGACGGTACTGCATGGTGAAATTATATGGCTGAAGTGCTAGGCTCCACCGCAATAGCCTGGGATTGTCACCAGCCACCCGATTTAACCACACCAGCGGGTTATGATCTGTCATTAGAGTAAATGGTCAGCCGTACAGATAAGGTTGAAGTTTCTTAAGCGCCCACACTAGGGCTAGGCACTCTTTCTCCACGGTGGCATAGCTGACCTCTCTGGGCAAAAGTTTACGGCTGAGGTAGGCTACCGGGTGTTCCATGCCATCGTCTCCCACCTGGCTTAACACGGCTCCCAGCCCAAACATGGAGGCATCTGTGTGGACAAGAAATTGTTTAGAGTGGTCGGATGCTGCCAACACAGGAGCCTCACTTAATGCTGCTTTCAGTTTCTGGAACACTTCTGCGCACTCTGGGGTCCAGGTCACCTGTTTTGAGAGGGACTTTTTGGTGAGGTCAAGGAGGGGTTTGGCCAGGGCGCAATACTGGGGGACAAATTTCCGGTAATAGCCGGCTGTTCCTAAAAAGGCTAAGACCTGGGTTTTGGTCCGGGGTTGGGGCCAATTCACTATGGCCTCTACTTTGGCAGGCTCGGGCCGCTGTTTACCTGAACCTACCCTGTGGCCGAGGCTGTACCTCAGCCATGCCGACATGACATTTGTCAGGCTTTAATGTGAGCCCTGACTGGTGAATTCGCTCGAGCACCCTGGATACGTGTCCCATGTGATCCCCCCATGTGTGGCTGTAGACAGCAATATTGTCTAAATACGCACATGCAAAGTCCTGGAGCCCCTCCAGGAGCCTGTCAGCCATCCGCTGAAAGGTAGCCGGAGCATTCTTCATTCCAAAGGGCATAACCTTGAATTGGTAAAGCTCAAAAGGAGTGACGAATGCCGACTTGGGTATGGCTGCAGTCTCCAGGGGGATCTGCCAGTACCCCTTGCACAAGTCCAGGGTGGTCAAGTAATTCCCCCCAGCCATACGGTCTAGTAACTCATCTATTCTGGGCATTGGGTAGGCATCCGTTATGGTGTGATCGTTGAGCCTCCGATAGTCTACACAGAAGCGCGTGGTGCCGTCGCGCTTCGGTACTAGTACTACCGGAGATGCCCAAGGACTTTGAGAGGGTTCTATTACCCCTAACTTGAGCATGTCTCTGATTTCCGCGAGCATACTTTCACGAACTGCCTCAGGAATAGATAGGGCTGCTGCGGTAGCGGCGTTTCTCCCTGGGTTTCTACCCGGTGTACCGCAGCGGAGGTATAGCCCGGGATGGCGGAAAACATGTCCTGGAGCAGTTGCGACACTTCCCCTTGCTCTAGGGGTTTAAGGTTCTGACCTAGGTTTACTTGGTCAATGCTAAAAGGCGAGGGGGTCTAACAGATCGGGGAGGGGAAGTCCCTCACTATCTTCTGAGGAGGGGGCACATACTGCTCCTACATCTTCCGTTCTCTCGTAATACGGTTTGAGCATGTTTACGTGAAAGGCTTTGGTCAGCCTTTCATCTGAACACTTACTCACAATGTAGGTGGTATCACTTATCCGCTCTACCACCTTGAAGGGCCCCTGCCAGGCCGCCTGCAGCTTGTCTTTCTTTGCGGGTCTCAAGGCTAGCACTTTCTGGCCTATGTCTAAGACCCTATCTCGGGCACCCCTGTCATACCACTTCTTCTGGTAGTCCTGAGCCGCCTGCAGATTCTCCCGAACCAATTCAGTGAGGGTCCGCAGTCGGTCTCGGAACTCCAGGATGTACTGAACGATAGGGACTCCCCCCTCATCTGTGTTGCCCTCCCAGTGTTCCCGTACGAGATCCAGGGGGCTCCGAACTTTTCTCCCGAACAGGAGTTCGAAGGGGGAAAACCCTGTGGATGCCTGGGGCACTTCACGGTAGGCAAACAGAAGATGGGGAAGATACCTTTCCCAATTCCTGCAGGACTCTGCGAACGTCCTCAGCATTTGTTTGAGCGTGCCATTAAAACGTTCACAAAGTCCATTGGTCTGGGGGTGGTAGGGGGCTCTAAATAGGGCTTTCACTCCACAGCTCTGCCACAGTTGTTGTGTCAGGAGAGCTGTGAACTGAGTCCCCCGGTCGGATAGGATCTCCTGGGAAAAACCTACTCGGGAAAATATTTTGACCAGGGCCTCAGCCACGGTCTCTGCCTCTATATTGGGCAGGGCTACGGCTTCAGGGTACCTAGTGGCATAGTCCACTACGGTAAGGATGAACTTTTTGCCGGACTGACTGGGCCAGCTGAGGGGTCCTATTAAGTCCACCGCTACTCGGTGAAAAGGTTCTTCTATAATGGGTAACGGGTGGAGTTTAACTTTCTGGTGGTCACCCCGTTTCCCTATTTTTTGGCAAATGTCACATGTCCTACAGTAATATTTAAGGTCTTGCGTGACTCTGGGCCAGAAGAATGTTTGGGTCAACCGGTCTCTGGTTTTCTTAACCCCCAAATGTCCCGCTAGAGGAATATCATGGCTGAGCCTTAATAACTCGGCCCGAAACTTGCGGGGTACTTCCAGCTGCCTTTTAGTAACCTGCGTGGTCCCGTGTCCCGCCCCTTCTGTCACCCTATACAACAGTCCCTTGTGCCACTCAAACCTTTCGTGTGGGTTGTCTCCCCTATTACCATCTACTGCCTTCCTATACCCGTCTAGAGTGGGGTCTGTTCTCTGTTCCTGCTCAAACCCTTGGGGCGTATCCCAGAACGGGGAAGGGGGGTCAGGTAGAGGGGGTATTTCAACTCCTACCTGGGTTTCCTCAGAGTGCAGCGGTGCTTCCAGTCTGGCTTGAGCTCGGGTGGTAACCGGGTAGGCTTCGCACGAAGTATCTCATGCTAATTGGGAGGTTAAACAGCCCATATCATTCCCCAACAATACTTCGGATGGCAGCTCCTGCATAATGCCCACCTCCAATTGTTTTGACCCTGCACCCCAATCTACAAGGACCTTTTCTGTAGGCAATTTGTGGATGGCACCTCCAGCCACTCTTACAGCCACGGTGCGACCGGTGCGAGTCTGGGCCTTGACTGTGTGGGGTTGTACCACAGTTAGAGTGGCCCCAGAGTCTCTCAAAGCTCGGGCCCCCACACCATCTACTGTAATCCACTGACGGTGGTGGTCCTTGTTGTCTCCCTCAGCTTGCACGGGGTTGACCTCATGTAACACACTCCACTGTTCTTCGTGGTTAGGAACAAAAGGTGCACTCTCCTGCTGTACACAATGAGCAGCGGCCCTGGGTTGTTGCTGTGGAGGTTGCCTATCCCAGCTTCCCTGGTTCAGACGAGGGCACTGGTTTTTATAGTGCCCTGGTTGTTTGCAATAATGGCACACTGCAGGGGGTCGTGGTGTTGCTGCTGAGCTATGTGGCGGGTTACTCACGGGAGCTCTAGGTGGTGCAGATGTTGCTGGTGCTGCATAGGGTTGCTTAAAAACAGGTCGACTCACCCCTTGTTCCCTCCTCCTGTTATCCTGGTGCTCATCTGCCAATCTGGCTGCCTCCTCCACAGTTTTAGGCTTCTTGTCTTTTATCCAGTCTTTAATGTCATCTGCTGTGTGATTAAAGAATTGCTCCAATAGGATGAGCTGCAGGGCATCCTCAAGGGTAGTTGCTTGGCAGCCCTGCATCCAATTCTGGGCTGCACTGTGTAGTCGGAATGCCCATTCGGTATGGGAATCCCTTCCTGTTTTCCTCAACTCTTGGAATTTCTTTCTGTATGCCTCTGGAGTTACAGCATATCTGGCCAACAAAATGTCTTTTACTTCCTCATAGTTACAGTCAGGTCCATAAATATTGGGACATCGACACAATTCTAATCTTTTTGGCTCTATACACCATCACAATGGATTTGAAATGAAATGAACAAGATGTGCTTTAACTGCAGACTTTCAGCTTTAATTTGAGGGTATTTACATCCAAATCAGGTGAACGGTGTAGGAATTACAACAGTTTGTATACGTGCCTCCCACTTTTCAAGGGACCAAAAGTAATGGGACAATTGGCTGCTCAGCTGTTCCATGGCCAGGTGTGTGTTATTCTCTCATTATCCCATTTACCAGGAGCAGATAAAAGGTTCAGAGTTCATTTCAAGTGTGCTATTTGCATTTGGAATCTGTTGCTGTCAACTCTCAATATGAGATCAAAATTCTTTCCCTGGTGAAGAAAACACCCATTCACAACAATTGGCCAGATCAAGAACACTCTCCAGGAGGTAGGTGTATGTGTGTCAAAGTCAACAATCAAGAGTAGACTTCACCAGAGTGAATACAGAGGGTTCACCACAAGATGTAAACCATTGGTGAGCCTCAAAAACAGGAAGGCCAGATTAGAGTTTGCCAAACAACATCTAAAAAGCCTTCACAGTTCTGGAACAACATCCTATGGACAGATGAGACCAAGATCAACTTGTACCAGAGTGATGGGAAGAGAAGAGTATGGAGAAGGAAAGGAACTGCTCATGATCCAAAGCATACCACCTCATCAGTGAAGCATGGTGGTGGTAGTGTCATGGCATGGGCATGTATGGCTGCCAATTGAACTGGTTCTCTTGTATTTATTGATGGTGTGACTGCTGACAAAAGCAGGAGGATGAATTCTGAAGTGTTTCGGCAATATTATCTGCTCATATTCAGCCAAATGCTTCAGAACTCATTGGACGGCACTTCACAGTGCAGATGGACAATGACCCGAAGCATACTCCAAAAGCAACCAAAGAGTTTTTTAAGGGAAAGAAGTGGAATGTTATGCAATGGCCAAGTCAATCACCTGACCTGAATCCGATTGAGCATGCATTTCACTTGATGGAGACAAAACTGAAGGGAATATGCCCCAAGAACAAGCAGGAACTGAAGACAGTTGCAGTAGAGGCCTGGCAGAGCATCACCAGGGATGAAACCCAGCGTCTGGTGATGTCTATGCGTTCCAGACTTCAGGCTGTAATTGACTGCAAAGGATTTGCAACCATGTATTAAAAAGTGAAAGTTTGATTTATGACTGTTAATCTGTCCCATTACTTTTGGTCCCTTAAAAAGTGGGAGGCACAAATACAAACTGTTGTAATTCCTACACCGTTCACCTGATTTGGATGTAAATACCCTCAAATTAAAGCTGAAAGTCTGCAGTTAAAGCACACTTGTTTGTTTCTGTTCAAACCCATTGTGTTGGTGTATAGAGCCAAAAAGATTAGAATTGTGTTGATTTCCCAATATTTATGGACCTGACTGTATGTATGTCCCCATCAGGTACTGCTCGCAACGCCTCTGCTGCTCTGCCTGACAGCTTGCTGCTAAGTACTGCAGCCCATTTCATGGAGTCTAATCCCTCTAGTGCACATTGTCTTTCAAAATCCTGCAGATAACTATCAATTTCCATTTCATTGTCATTAACATTTTTAAATGCAGCATAATCACCTTCCTTGGTATGTCACTTGTACTTCCCGGGGAGTGTAGCAAATTCCCCTGTAGCGGTCTGTCTCGGTCATCTCGCTCCTTCTGCGATTGCCTGGCTTGTTTCATGACCTGCAGAACTGCCTCTGTTGCTGGATTAGGTACCAATAAACTGAGCATCCATCTGATGTCCTTCTGCATCTCAGTTTCTTCCTCATGCTCCATTTCTGTATTGCTGGTTCTGTCCAGGGCCGTCTTTAACGCAGGGCAAACGGGGCAGCTGCCCCGGGCCCTGTCCCAGCTGGGGGGCCCAAGACAGCTGCTCCTTTTGCCCTCTGCCCGCAAACTATGGGGGCCCATCGGGTGGCCCATGCACTTAGGGCCACCCAGTGGGCCTGTGTCAGCAGGGGCCCGGTCGGGCGCTGTGGCGCTTTAACAGCGCGACCGGGGCCTTGCTTTTTCGGCAGCACTGGGAGGAAGTGACAGCCACGCGTCACTTCCTCCCACAGAAACAAGAGTCGCGCGGGAGGAAGGAGCTGTTCCGGAGGGGGCCAGGCCGGGAGAGCTTAACTCCCAGCCACCCCAGCCAGCCCACTGGACCCCAGGGAAGCCACCCTCCAGGAAAAGGTAAGAAACTGGAGGGTGGTTATCAAATTTTGCATTAGTGTCTGTGTGTGTGTGTGTGTGTGTGTGTGAGTATGTATGTATGTCTGTCTGTCAGTGTGCCAGTATGTCTGTCAGTGTGTCAGTATGTCTGTGTGTGTGTCTGTCAGTGTATGTGTGGTTCTGTATGTCTGTGTTTGTCAATATGTCTGTCAGTGTCTGTGTGTATGTGTAAGTATGTATGTATGTCTGTCTGTCAGTGTTTCAGTATGTCCGTCTGTGTGTATATGTGCCAGTATGTCTGTCAGTGTGTCAGTATGTCTGTGTGTGTGAGTCGGTCAGTGTCTGTGTGGTTCAATATGTATGTGTGTATGTGTATTTCAGTATGGCTGTCTGTGAGTGGCAAAATGTCTGTATGTGTGTACCTCTGTCAGTGTCTGTGTGTATGTGTGTTTCAGTTTGTCTGTCTGTGTGTATATGTGCCATAATGTCTGTATGTCTGTCAGTGTGTCAGTATGTCTATGTGTGAGTCTGTCAGTGTCCATGTGGTTCTGTATGTCTGTGTGTATGTGTGTTTCAGTATGGCTGTCTGTGTGTGTCTCTGTGTCAGTACGTCTGTCAGAATGGGCCTTTGTATCTGTATGTTGTCCGTTTGTGTTTGTGTGTGTATCTATATATAGTCAGTGTGTATCTGTATGTGTTCGTGTTTGTATATGTATATCTACATGTGTGTCAGGTTGTGTATCTGTGTATCTGTGTGTCTGTATATGTGTCAGTGTGTGTGTGTCGGTGTATCTATATGTAGTCAGTGTGTGTACCTTTGTATCTGCATGTATCAGTGTTTGTATCTGTGTATCTGCATGTTTGTCAGGTTGTGTATCTGTGTTTGTGTCTATCTGTGTGTCAGTGTTCTATATGTAGTCTGTGTGTATCTGTATGTTCTTGTGTGTATCTATATGCGGTCAGTGTGTATCTGCATGTGTGTCAGGTTTTGTATTTGTGTGTATCTATATGTAGTCAGGGGGCCCAAGTTAATGCTTGCCCAGGGTCCAGTCAGAATTAAAGACGGCCCTGGTTCTATCGCTCTGTAACAGCTCTGCAATTAACGTGGCTTTTGTTTTGTTACTTGCCACTACGCCTCGAGCTTCCAGTAAATCCTTTAGCGTGGTTCTCTTAAGTCGCTGGTACTGCTGAGCCATTCATTCCTTTGCTTGTTTGAAACGTCCGTTCGGGATTCGAATCCCGCCGCTTGCCACAAGTTGTAAGGAAACCAAGTATATTTAAACCTCATTCGGTAGTTTCCTCCCGAACCGCCAGAGCCTTAGTAATTATAGCCCTCCGTTCGGTAGTTAGGGTAGAGGAATCCTATAGCAATTCCAATAGTTTCACCAGATAATTCCCTCAGTGAAACACACGAATTCCCAAACATCAGCCGAAGTCAAGAAGAAGGGTACAAAATGAACTGTCCTTTAATGGGTACACACAGCTTTTATGCAAGTCCCCATGCAAGGGGACAGCTCTCAGGGAGGGACAAACAATAACCAATCACAAACAGTAAAATGTTAACACACACCTACAATTCCCTCCCCTAGCCCAGGAGATAATTTAGTCTGATAAACTAGTAACTTAATTATCTCCGGACTGAAAAATCACTTTTTCCCCAACTTTCAGAACACCCCTTTATACTGGGGGTATCCCCATAAATTATGTGTCCCCTGATAGCCCTGATTTGGGTGACCAACATATTCGAATTTCACCCAGATCGGTTCAGGGGTTCACAAATTGTATGGAAGTCTTGTGTGACCAGCTCACCCTGGGCTGCATGCCCAAAACAGTTCCATGAATTTGGTGGATTTTATCGGTCACTTTCGAAAAAGCATAAAAACGAATAAAAATACCGAATGGATCCCTCTGGCTCCAAGCAGCGTTCGTGCCCCTCTGTCGAATTCACCAAAGTACCGAATAGCGTTCTTCTAGCTATTCAGTAAATAGAGTTCCAGCGTTTGTCTGTTTGGGACCGGTGTTCGGGAAGTCGAGTGTCTGTAAAACAGTTCCATGCACTCGATGACCAGGTCCCGCTGCCTTTGTTCGCATGAACAAAGATGGCCGCGGTTGTCTCTGCCACGTGGCGTTCGACTAACGAACGCTGGCCGCACAGACAGAGGTAGCAATTTCACCCAAACCTTTGATGTTTAATGAGCCAGAGGGTGGTCTTTGTTTGGTAGTTCCATCTACCGAATGCAATAGGCAGAAATGGGGATAAAAAGGGAATGCAAACAGTAAATAACATAGGGAACAGGGGGGTTTCTTCACAGCGCTGAACTAGGCCACGCTACAAGAGGGAGGTGAATTGATATGGGAGTGTGGGGGTGGGGGGGAGAAACAGACAAGGGCTGGGGTAGACAGAAATAGACAAAGGCTGGGAGAGACAGAAACGGAAAAGGGCTGGAGGAGACAAAAACAGACAAGGGCTGGGGGCAAAAACAGGCAAGAGCTGGGGGAGGGCATAAAAAGACAAGGGCAGAGGAGACCCCAGCCCAGTGGCGGATCCAGAGCCTGATCTCGGGAGGGGCACTTGTAGATTATTTAAAGAATAATGCAGGCACAATAACCACTACAGCTCAGTGTAGTAGTTATGGTGCCAGTAGTGCCAGGATCCCATCCCAGAGTAAGTAGTCAAATCGTTTAAGAACAGTTTGACAACTTACCTGGGGTCTGCTGGGATATAGGGCATTGGAGCAGTGGTATGTGTTAGGGGTGAAGTGTGTATGAAAGGTGCAGTGTGTGTGTGTGTGAGCGGTGAAGTGTGTGTGCGAGTGCGTGAGGGCGGCAGTGTAGGTCAGGGTTGCAGTGTTTGTGTTAGGGGGCAGTGTATGTGTGGGACAGTGTGTGTGTGAGAGAGTTGCAGTGTGTGTATGTGAGGGTGGCAGTGTGTATGAGAGTTGCAGTGTGTGTGTGTTTGTGGGGCAGTGTGTGTATGGGGGACAGTTTGTGTAGTGTGTGTATGGGGGCAGTGTTTGTGGGGCAGTGTGTGTGTATGGGTGGGCAGTGTGTATGGGGGCAGTGAGTGTAGTGTGTGTATGGGGGGCAGTGTTTGTGGGGCAGTGTGTGTATGGGCAGTGTGTGTATGGGGCAGTGTTTGTAGTGTGTGTATGGGGGCAGTGTTTGTGGGGCAGTGTGTGTAGTGTGTGTAGCTCCGGTACCAGTGCCGTGCGCAAGGGAGCTGAAGAGGAAGCACTCAGGGGAGAGTGCTCCCTCGCAAGCCCACAGAACCGGCCGCCCGGTGACACCAGGGCCAGCCTCTAGGGACCCTGAGGTGGCCGGC